GTTCACCTCGTCTAGCTCGCGCTCTTGCCCAGAAACCTGCGATCGGAGATCCGAAATATCCGCTGCGGCGAGATCGAGCTGGTGATCCAGTCGATCACGATCGGCATTAGCAGTCGCGAGATGGGCCTGAGCGCGTGTCAGTTGGCGACCTAGATCCTGGATCTCGGCAGCTTGCAGGGCTATCTGATCCCGGAGGCCTTGGATCAGCTGCGGACCCTGACCCTGGGCACTCTGTTGAAGGTCGCTGACTTCCGTCTGAAGGCGGCGGATCTCTTCCTCTTGCGCCCAGTGGTGGCGCTCCAAGTTGTGCAGTTTCGCAGTCAGCTCGCGCACGGTGTCGTCCTGGCGCGCCCGGTCGCGGGTCATAGTCGATCGTGAAGCGTAGGCGCACACCAGCTCATCTTCCAAGCGAGCGATTCGGCGGACGGCATCCGGGGAGGCCGCGGCACGGCGGGAGGCCGTCGGTCGCGACGATCGAGGTGTTGAATGAGTCGATCGGGGCGAGCCATGCGTCGAACCGTCGTCGTCCGGCGGACCGGATGGAGGCGCAGGCGGGTTGGGCGGCGGTGTGCTCATCTGTGAGTGGTCTGTGCTTGAGCCGGCGAATTGGAGAATGACCAAGGTCAAACTGTCCGAAGTGAGCCGCCGTGCCACAACTTGCGGCCAGGGGCGGATGTGGAGAAGTGCTGAATAAGAATTGTTCGCCGAGAAAGGCGGCAGGGCCGATCGACTGGAAGTATGGGGGTCAGCGATCGAGAGACAGGCAGCGAAGATCTATGGATCAGAGGGAGTTCTTCGGGAGATCTCAAGTGGCCCGATGACGCCGGCGCGTAAGGCAGGACATGTGGCAAGCCGGATTGGGGATGATCGCGTTCGAACCGTGGCGTGATTCGAGGCCGACCCAAGTCCCGATCGACGACAGATCTCGCAGATCTAGGACGGCCGAAGACGGAAGACGATGGATCGGCGGTGTACGGCAACCGGCACAAGTCGTCGATCGAGAGTTGATCGCCGATCGCCAATCGGGAGTCGATCGTGTATCGGGAGCCGATCGTGGGATGATCGTGGATCGGGGATCGACCGCGATGGGATGCACATGGAGGACGAAGTCAGGACAAGAATCCAGTGGATGTTTAGTTGTAGGATGGTAGATGAGATGGCAGCGGTAGGGAGACACCAGCTAAACATAAATCAGAGCAGAATTTGCACCAAAGGCCACAAGTCCCCCCAAGTCACCAAGTCCAGGGACTACATTGGCCTCGGCAGCGTCGCCACTTTGGGTAGTGAACTAGCGGTACGGTTAAGACTGGATTAATACATTGGTCAGCTTGACCTACTCTAGTGAGCTATCTTTTGTGTGCAACTCCTCGATCGACCGGATATTAGTGCTTGGCCGGCGATCATTTCTCCTCTCGATCAACTTCGATCCCGCAATAGGAAGCGGCAAACAACTCAAGAAAGGAAGGAACACACCCGGAAAGGCAACTACAGGCCTTGGATCTACTCCAGACCGACCGATCGCAACGAACAACCCTCGATCGGAGCGTATACTCGGACGCAGAGCGAAGACTACCGCGCTGCTCCACAAACTATCCCCGCGTCACGCCAAGACATTCGATCTTCACCAAGTGCTGCATCTTTGGAGCCCCGAGAGAGCGGATCCAGCCCGCCGACGGGTACACAAGGTGAGAACAAGTTCAGCCGATCACAGATCGTTGGGGGACCCCCTCCGTTAGTCGGTGTCTGGGCGCTGGTGGGAAGCTCGATCAGGCCTTAACCAAATTTTGGCCGATCCCGCTACACCACATCCTTGCGGCTGTTAACCTATTGAGGAACGCTTGTGTTGTTGATGGCAAATGCCGAAGTGAGTTGATTAAAGTTATTAAAGTTGTCCTACTTGTCCTTCGCAACTCTACTCCCCTCTTCTCCTTCTTGTTTTTCTCTCGTGTTTGCTTATGCAATCACCGCTTGCTACACCGTCGAACCAACCAAGTTGACCAACCCGAAGATTAGCCAATAGGAAGCGTTCCAGGACGGTTCAGGTACAGAACGGAACCGTACTTAGCGGTGCACTTCAACACAGGCTTCACATAGATGCAAATGTACTGAGTTACTATTATATATATTGTGGCTTTCATCCGTTTTGGCCAATCGGGTGGTCCAAGATCCGATATATCGGGCCCGATTTGCTGGAGGGCTCCGATTTAGCAGGAGGGGCTGAGGGAAGCAAACGATATCTGGTCCGGTTTGCGTCTGGGGGCTGCGAGTTGCTAGGCAGGGGCCAGAAATGCCGCTTTTCGCCGGCAAAAGGGACCGCCGCGAAAACATGTCTGGGGCCCTCTCAGATCGGCGTGGCACGAAGTTGTAGCGGCCGTAAATGATCACACAGGTGATTTAGCTGGCCATAGTGCTATGAAGTGGTGTACTATTGTCCCCAATGTCTTGCACTTCTAATGCGTCATGAGAGGTGGGGAGGTATGGCCAACTTGGAATGCCTCCCCTCTGAGCCTTATGCTACTAACTCAGGTCAGATATAGCTAAATTGGACTAACCGATCATGTAGGAGCTCCATTTTATATAAATCGGACTCCGAGATAACACGTCAAATCGGGCGGCAAAATAGTTGAAAACCACAATACATGAAAAAGTACAGAGTAATATTCGGTACTTTTTGCATGTTATGCATGAGTCGTGGAAGCCACGAGAAGTTAGCACAAAGTGATGAAGCTGAAAAAGAAACGTAAATATTTTTTGTCGTTTTTAAGCACTTTGGGTTGCAGCAGTGAAACAAGTCATTTCATGAATTGTACACGTGAACAAAGTATCCTTATTTTTCACACAGTTTTTTAGCACTCTAAACTCATCTCATATCTGGATGCGACGTCCTGCAACTACGTCACTGTACTCATCCTATTTGTTGGGGTGATGTGGTGTATCTGTTGGCACCGTAGTGTCCGTAAACCGGCAGTGGTGCGCATAATCCTCGCAAGTACTTTATCTCGTTTTATGTTGTGCGAATACGGAGGATCATGAATAGTGCGAGGAAAAATTATTATAATACTACCGTGTATTCTTGGCTAAACTATAGGAAACTATTTTAACAGAAAAAAATGTGTCACTCATAGACGAGGGATATTTTTAAGCTATGTGATAAACCTGAAAAACGACGTATTGGAGGTTGGCATTTTAAAACAATACTTTCCCTTCCTAAGTAAGCAATACGTCAACGATTGCGCTGCGCAACATATTTGTAAATATCAAAATATGTTTTCCACTCCGTTTCATGTAGTGTTAACAGAAATCTAACCGTCAAGCGGGAAAAAAGTAAAGATAACCGAAGCAGTGACAAACCACAAATTCTTAGTCCAATCCGACAACAGCTTGCTTGTTGAATCGAAAAGCTACACTGCTTACCGTAATAAGTCTCACCTCGTTTTTTGCAGAAAAGGTATAAGATTCGCACTTTGACGATCGAATTTTTGGCCTATGAAAGCAACAGACCCCGAAATCGAATCAGCTGATTCGTCTGAATTTGCCAATAAATCATGCATTTTGTTAAATAGGCTGCAACATCGATACCCTAACCCTCCCATCACGTGAGACTAATTACGGTAGGTGCAGTAGTGCCGGTAGCCTACAGCATTCTGGTTGCGGTCGTAAGTCAACGATTACGGGCGTAAGTCGCACTAACGCAAACATGTGCATTGACTGGGCCTACCGGGTACATACCTGTACCAGTTCCTATCGTCTCACCATATACTCATTTTCAATACTATACAAGAGAGCAAAGTATTTTTAAGATATTAACATATTGTGGAAACCGATTAGATTGCCCGAGCGGATTAGCTGATAAAGCAGCGTTCATGAGAGATTTGACTGGTACTAAATCGGGGATCCTTATGATTTCATATGGCATTGGTAAGGGTATAAATCTGTGTACGGTTAATAACATGGGGGTTGCCTCATTACCTGCCAGAAATACGACGAGCGACCACTTACCGCCACGAGCTGAGTGATTCGCGTACCGGTACCTACTAACGAGAAATAGCATCGCGTGTATTAAATACGCTTCTGTGAGCTTCGATGTGTACTGCTATCTATTTATCAAGTTCTGAAGTCATGTATTTGCGCTGTCATTTCTCGTCAGCATTAGCGTTTGTCGGTTTTACGTTAAATCGGCCACCGAATGCCGTGTGGGTGTCGGACATTCGGGCTGATTAGCATGCAAATCAGCCGTTCCGGGTTTTGTAAGCCGTGGAGCAGCTAAATCAGCTTGCCACATGGCGTTGTAGGCACAACTGACCGCTCTGTCAAATCAGAGTACAAATCTTAGTATGTCGATCTAATTAGGAGGTCGGATTTAGCAAATCAGACCCGATTAAGCTTAATCATCTGCTTAATCAACCGATTTATATCCCAATTAGATAATCTAATCGGTTTCCACAATACTATCAAAATAGTACAGTAATGTGGTTCAATAAGGGACCTCTGATATGAATAGGAATGTAAAGGCTATTAAGGCGAACAAGTGAAAAAAGAAAGAACAATGTATTGATTTAGTTAAGAATAAATGACACACTGCGTTTACTAATGAGCGTGGATTAAGCCTCCAGCGCAAGTTCAGACATGGGAAGCACAACTGTTTAAGTTTGCGGCGAAGCTGGAACCTCCTCTGAAGTGTGCTGTACAATGGACACAACCTCCCCAAGTTGTGTCACGGCGATCCAGTGACCAGACCTGTCTGTCACAGACCCGACCTCACAGCACGCCCTCGTAGCAGTTAACTGGAACTCTCCGTTCAAATTAATTTTTGTTGGTGACATCAGCTCCGAGTTAGGTAATCGCATTCTCAGCAGAGCCGAACTTCAGGTCAAAGGACGATGGACAGGGGCAAAAGCAAAACGAGTTGATGAGCTGTTTAACCACTGGATATCGCAACTCGTCACTGCTGGAACGTTGGAACTTCGGCATCATGTCGGCTGTGAACTCATCACACCGGTATGACTCCGTACCAAAGGAGAATTGGCATCGGGCAATGGATCGTGGCAGTAAAGCTAGATTCAGAAGCGTCAAGGCAAGCGATTAGTCATTACGAACTGGGATCCAGAGAGATTGGTGACGTAACCCGAGATCCGCTTGGCCTGCTTATCCCCATCCGATGGTATTACGAACGCCCACGAGGAAGTGATATCTGGTATGAGCGCACACACCAAGTACTCATGCCAGAATATGAAGCAGTATGTGTGCCTGTGATTCCTACGTATTTGCCTCAGAAAACAAACCGGAAGGATCGAATCATCCTTTGGACTACAACACAAATTGAGGGGGTGCGAGGCGTGAACGACAGAAGCATCCTTCAGGAAGCAGCAGCTCGTAGCCGGCTAAGATTTGATAGCACCATTTCTAGTGGGTATCCACTCGAGATGGCAACGGCTTGCACCGAATACAGGCGCTACCGTGGGGTAAAGTGGTGTTTCGAGTGTGAGCGCTGGCATCATGCAAATTGCATGCCAAGAGACTGCACTATGCCTGGATTAAGGGACTCTTTCACTGCTAACGCTAGAGATGCGAGTGTGCAGTATGCGAGCGGCCCGCCGGATAAAGCTGTAAGTGTTCAAGCAGGCGATGGCAGTGTGTACGAAGCAAACCCAGGTCATTCTCGCGGTGGTTCGGCCATGCAGTCGCCCGGAGGATATACCGTAACTGGCCAACTGAGAATCCACCGTGACGACGTCACTTCTACCCGCTGTGAACTGCACGCGCTACTAATAACTTTATTACTCCTTCTAACTATTGTAACATAGTCTGGTAGTAATATATTGTACGGTGATTCTGGGGATCAAGTCTGCGATAATAAAAGTGCCATTGCCATCTTCGCGAAAGCGCGAGCGTATGCAGAGGGTAACATACGGCACTTAAAGTATCGGGATGTGCGCCGTCTTGAGATCAAGTCGATAAGTCGAGCAATGCAGGATCACGGAACAATGACACCGATATGGGTCCAATCACACAAGGAAATGGAGTTCACGCCCGACACTACTCTTCGATCAAAACGGCATTCCTTGGCCGTGGTGGATGAGGCAGCAAAAGCTAGCCACCTCATCAATATGCAGGCGTCTTACTCGAGGTGGATAGAATATGATGACTTCATGCTCATTGATGAAGAAGGTGCACTTGTCTTTGGTAACACGCTAGCGTATCTACTAAAGCGAGTCCACGGGGACCAACGACGCCGCTGGTTTTCGCGTCAACAGGAAAAAGATGAATCGCACCACACACTCGCACAGGACGAAGTGGCCATGATCGCGGATTCTCAGTGGTCGGAGGCGTTAAGACGATTCTACTGGAGGGCCCGAGCAAATGTGCTTCACACCAATGCTATCAAGCACAGATACGATCCGAGATGGTCTGCTGCTTGTAGTAGTTGTGGTAATGGGATAACAGACACCCAACACCACCGTTTTGGGCTCACGACACCAATCTGTCACGACGTCAGCGTGCTCAACGACATGCTCACTGAATTGTTTTATGAGATAGACTGTGAAGAGTGGCTTCCAGACCAGTGCGTTTTCATACCCGCCATAGCGCACCAGCTTGCAACCGAAACAGGGTCTGACCAACGCAGCGGATGGTTATCAACGGAACCGGGCAAGGTGTTGTGGTCTCCAATGGTGAAAATTGTGAATGGACTGTGGGTGAATGCGCAATGGTTGGACTGGTTTGGAGACCCACGAGTTCTCTGTCTTGACTCTCAGTTTGCTAGCGTTGTGGAACGAGAACTCAGCCACATTGGCCGACCAAGATGCATACTCCCCGCTGAATTCGCTGACGTGGTCCAACGTTATCACACGACAGTGGGCTTCTTCCGGGCATACATTACTCAATGGATACTTGGATGATCAGCCGCTACTTTTCAGTGTGCGAGCTCGTTCACCCAGTTTCCTGGGTTGGAACAGTTATTACCACCAGCACGGGTTCGTATTTGGGGGGTCGATGATGTGTATCAGCCTAGATCGAGCTTGTGGTGGGACGATTTCAAGAAACGATATGAACGGCAACTGCGCTATGATGAGCCTATTTACTGGATCGCTACGTATCTACACTCTGCGGGTCACGAATTTCTCGAATCAATTGACTGTGCGTGGATCCTCCGAATTTCGGCTGGGGAACTCAGTATGCGCACTGAGTGTACGGTCGTGCAGAAGCATCAGGTGCCTTTTACGGCTGCGTACACTAAAAACCGGTCAGCTATTCTAATCGGTGTGATCTCACACGGATCCAACGGTCTAGACATCGCCGAAGGATCGATACCAGCATGGACACAGCTTCTCAGGCACAGCTATTCGGAAGCATGGCTCACTAACGACTGGACGGAAACGGAAGGAGATATCATGCCCATGCTACATCCGATTCTCGACTGGTACGGTCACCAAGATGGCGCCACCCATGGTGGGCTCGTGTTCGACACCAGCTTGATCGGCTGGATTTGGTCGTTTATGCAGCTCCGAAAGGGTGGAGGCGGCTCCCCACCATGACGAAGGGAAGTGTAACTTGGGCGGAGGCAGTGTCATACACACGAGCACAGGCAAAAGAGCTTCACTCTCAGCTTTTAGCGGCATCTGGACTACATTACGGAGTTACGTTGGGGCAAGTGTAGTTCCAACTGGAACTACACTTGCACCAAGGACGATAACAGCGCGACCAGGCAGGAGAGCAGTGCGCTTTTGGACGACGTTAACACAGGTATCAAGACACGCCGGACAAATTGGGCTCGACAGACGCAAGTACAACTCACTCGGCGGCGTCAAGATCGCCGACGTCAGATCCGAGAGCGCGGAGAGGCATGGCATGCCCACAGGCACCAGCTACTGACAGCTCAAGATGGCAGTACGGACGACGTTTTGTGAGCCACTACATTTCTTTTACATTGAGGCGACACCATACGCGAGAAGGTTAGATGTTGTCTATGCATTTGGGCTACTACCGCGGGTACAGGACTTTGGGTCCGGGGTCCGTAGGCGAAGCTGCAGCAGCGCGCAGCATTGGGTGTAGATAGCCGACTAAACCGCAACTGAAGTGGAGTGTCCTCTTGGTGCTGCTCACGCAGAGATGGAAGCAACGACAACACTCAGCTGGGCGGCAAAAGCCACCTTGTTGGTCGTGTGTATATTCTCAACTGAGGCCTAGATTCTTCTCTTTCACCTTTTGTCTTACTCCAACTGCAAGTGGTATAGTGGGGATCAGTATAATCCGCAACAGCCCCACCTACGGATTCCCATCAACTTGCATCTCCAAATCTTGCCCTTGGCAATAATCCCATTGCAGCGCTGTGTTTTTCAAATGCCGGACGTGCCAATGGCTTTGTAAAAGCATCGGCCACGTTATCAACTCCTGGCACCCGAAGCACGTCAATTTCCTTCAAATCGATGCGCTCACGCACGAAGTGGTGGCGCACATCGATGTGCTTGGTCCGAGAATGAAACACAGGGTTGCTGGCAAGCTTCTTTGCACTTTCGTTGTCAACAAAGACTTGGGATGGCTGAATTTGCTGCACCTGCAGTTCCTTCAGCATTTGGCGCAAGTGCACCGCCTCCTGCACCAGTAGACTAAGAGCCATATATTCGGCCTCGGTCGTGTGCAGCGCGACGGTCGTCTCCGTCTGGCGGCTCCACGAAATGATGCTCCCACAAAATTGAGTCACGTAGCCTGCAACAGACTTTCGATCATCAACTCGATTTGCAAATTCCGCATCTGCGTATGCTCTCAGATGATCATCCAGCTTTTGATCTGACCACGCTAAGCCACCAAGCTGGACCCCCCAGTCCGCTGTGTCTTTCAGGTAGCGCAATCCACGTTTTGCAGCTCTCCAATGCAACAGACCTGGGTTTTCCAAGAACTGACTGCACTCTCTAACTAGGTAGGCCAGATCGGGCCGGGTACCGAGCATCAGGTACATCAGGCTGCCAACCCCAGCACGATATGGCGTCGATCTCATCAGTTGCCTTTCATCGTACACATGGCCTGGCTCAGCTTCAGATCCGCCGTGCTCGGCGTCTTGCAGCCATTGCAGTCCTGCATGTTGAACCGCTTGAGCACGGTCTCGGCATACTTCTGCTGACCAATGAACATCGTTCTCTCGGCCCGGTTCCGCGTGATCTCCCAGCCTAGAATGTAGTGTAACTCCCCGAGATCCTTCATCGCAAACCGGTCCTCGAACATCTTCTTCATCTTGTTGATGAGCTCCATCGACGGAGCAAACAAAATCAGATCATCAACATAGAGAGGGATGAACACCAACTGCCCATCAATTACTTTAGCAGCCACGCAGGCCTCCGACTGCAGCATCGTGAAGCCCTGCTCCTCCAAGAACGACTTGAGCAGCTGAAACCACACTCTGGGCGCCTGCTTCAAGCCGTACAGGCTCTTCTTCAATCTGCACACCCAGTCCTCTTTGCCTTTCACTTTGTAGCCTTCAGGCTGCTCCATATAGACCTCCCCGTCAATCGCCCCATTCAAGAAAGCAGTAGTGACATCCATCTGATGCACTTCATAATTCCAGACAGCCGCCAGTGTCAAGAGAACACGCAGTGTCTCCAGCCTCACAACAGGCGAGTACACCTCTAGGTAGTCGATACCATAAATCTGCATGAAGCCCTTGATCACGAGCCTCGCTTGGAATCTTTCGATCTCTCCGTCCGCTAGATACTTGACGCGAAAGATCCAGCGATTCTGCAGCACTTTCACGTGCTTCTCACGCGGCACCAACTCCCAGGTATCGTTCTTCATCAACGAATCAAACTCATCATCAGCTGCATTTTTCCATTGCAATGAGTGCTCACTCTCCATAGCGTCACCGAAAGTATCTGGCTCTTCAAACTCGCCAGTACTCATGCAGCAATAGTCCTCCCACCATGCAAGGATCAACTCGTTCGCCATAGCACGTTGCAACTCAGCTCGTGCTTTCCTCCATCCAGCAGGCAACGAGTTCACATCATCATCTGGATTTGTATTTTCGTAGGCAATGTAGACGTAGTCACCGAACCACGTGGGCGGTTTACTTACCCGACCGCCCGTGTCACTGGAGGGTCTTTAGGGCGAGTGCCTCTCGGGCCTGTGTACTCACGAAGTGCTGTGCAAGGAGGCGTTGATAGACGCCCCACACTCGCAGCATCACTCGACACTTGGCTGTCCGAGTCGGCCCGCTCAGCAGCCGATGACCTGCTGTCCACCTCTTCCACCTCTTGACTCCCTGGTAGAGCCCTCGTCTCGTCAGCAGCCGGTCCCTTGTGCCGCCCACTGCTGCGTTTCCTCTTTCTCCTTCTTTTGGAATTGTCTGGCACGCACTCACCTCGCAGGTGGTCTGTCTCATGTCCATTGACACGTTCCTCATCACGTTCTGCCACCTTGCTAGAACGATCACATCCAGATGCTGTAGAGCTCACTCCACGTCTTCATCTCGTTCTGCCACCTTGCTAGAACGTCCACTTTCAAACACCGCAAACCGCACTCTCTTTGGTCGAGGCGCTGCGGCATCACCACCGGGACCTCTCTTCTTGGACCCACATGCCCCATCTGACCGGACATCTTGCTCAACTGCCCCACCTGGTCGGTCATCACATCGGGTGTCATCAGCCCCACCAGTCCGATAATCACCTCCGTCTCTGAAGTCGCTGGCCCCACCAGTCCAGCAATCTCCATCATCACGATAACTACCTCCATCATTTGAGTCATCATGCATTTCATCCAGCATTGGCTCAATGTCATCCTCTACTGATCGATCAACGCCTAAATATTCCTTACCGGAGGCTGCACTTGGCGTTGATGCCGAGTCCATGAGCAATCGACCAGCTTTATTCTCATAGAACACGACAGTATGGCTGTAGAATGCCTTGTTGGTCTTGCTATCGAGCAAGCGATAGCCTCGCTTCTCTCGCGAATATCCAACGAAGACCGCCTCCCGTGCTTTCGCCTGCATCTTCCGTCTCTCCACCTTGTCGATGTACGACAGGACGGCGCAGCCGAACGTCCGCAACTTCTCATAAGCAGGAGTCTGACGGTGTCATACTGCATACGGTACCTCCATGCCTCAAACCGAGCTTGGCATAATGTTCACGGAGTATGCAGCTGTCATCGCTGCCTCACCCCACATCGCTTCAGGCAGGTCGAAGTGCACGAGCATGCATCGCATTCTCTCCGTAATGGTGCGGACCATTCTCTCCGCGACACCATTTTGCTCCGGAGTATGCTGGATGCTGCTGTCAAACTCCATACCATACTTCGTGTCACACGTACTTTGCAGCTTCTTAAACTCCTTTGCATTGTCTGACCTTAGCGCTTTCATTCTGACATGCTGCTGCGTCTTGACGCGTTGATAGTACTCCTCAAACTTCTGGTACACTTCCGAACGATGCTCCAGAAGATACACGGTGACAAACCGACTCGCATCATCAACGAACACGGCAAAGTACCGTTTACCACCGTAGGAGTGCTCTGCATACGGAGCCCAAGCGTCCACATGGACCTTTTCGCCAACTAACCACTCGCGGGTCTGTGTCCGAGACTTCTTCATGCTCTTCCTCGTAAGTTTCCCCTTCACACAGGTCTCGCAATTGAAACCCACCGGGATACGCAAGTTCACCTGTGGCAACGGCCACTGATCATGGCTGAACAGCGCATTAAACGCGTTCTTGCCAGGGTGCTCCAATCTCGAATGCCACAGCTCCAAACTACTCACTCGAGCTGGTAGCGCCACCATGGCTACCTCTTGGGGTCTCTCCAACTTCAAGCGATAGAGATTGGTATAATCAACTTGAGCGGTAGTCACACCAGCCTGTAAGATAACATCAGCGCGATCTGCCTCATCAAAGTGCACCTTCACACGATCACGTTCAGGCAGATATTGGTTCAGTTGCCGTCGCACAGAATAGAGACTGCACTGCAGCTCTGGAGCATAACGAACTCCTCGCAGCGTCAGTGAGCACCTCCCACCAGTAGTCTCCAGCTCTTTAACCACAGTACCAATACCCTCAACACCCAGCAAGTTCTTTCCTCCAACTCGAATCCGGGCGCTAAGAGGCGTGAACTCCATGAAATCAGTGAGCTGGTTCGAAATATGACTCGATGCACCAGAGTCCAGGTACCAGTTATCATGGGCTTTGTCTGCGACCGGCTTTTTCATTTTCATCACTTGAAGAATAACATACGCGCTGTCATCACTTTCATTAGCGTAGCTACTCGTTTCAGCAGCCTTAGCACTCTTTCCTCCACTCATCTTCACGCGCTTCTGAGCTTGGGTGCTGCTGCGATCCTCGGCTGGAGGTCGCTTGCCAAGAAACGGGCAATCAAAAACATGATGCCCTGCTTCATGGCAGTGATAACAAGCACCACCTGGCTTTTGTCCACTGCCGGCTTGGCCACGTCCAGCTCCACGTCCACCACCTTGGCTCCCGCGACCGCCAGAACCATGTCCACCACCGGAACCGCGCCCGTGTCCTCCAGATCGACCACCACGTCCACGGCCGCGACCACGTCCTCGACCTCTTCCTCCACCAGCAAAGAACGCCTTTTCTTCATCATCATTGTCCTTGGCGCCCTCTGCTTTCCGACCTTGGCGATGGTCGTGAGCCATCTCCAATGCGAGTTCAAGTTGTTCATAATTAGGAGGATCATCAGCATTTTGGGGCTTGTGACTGGCGAGAAACGTCTGTACAACATGATCATATTCGCGCGGCAGAGATCCAATCAATAGTGCTGGCTTTACATACTCGTCCACAGGACGCCCGACTCCAGCAATGGTCTCCATCAGCCGACGCATCTCGCTCAGGTGATCTGGCACATTGCCGTTGGGAGCGAGCCGTAGCCGACTGAGCTTGGCCCTCTCCTCAGCGTACTTCAGGTACGTCTTGCCCATAAATCTCTTTTTCAGGCGCTCCATGACACGAAACGGGGTGGGTTCATACTTCACAGTCTTCATTATGTGATTCGTCATTGCGTCGTAGATGATCTCCTTGGCGTGGGCCATCTCGCTCGTCCACGTCGCGTGCGCCTCTGCCTCCTTGCTCTCGTCCGGCTCGAGCAAGTCCTCCATGCAGTACTTCCACAGCTTCTTCCTCTCCAGCTTGAGCTTGACTCGCTCGTGCCAGACCTCGTAGTCCTTGCCGTTAAACGGCGGGATCGTCCTCTTCTCCTCGTGTGACTCCTTGGGCGTCTTCTTCTGATCCGCCATGACGTCCTAGTTGCTGTGCTCCCCACGCGTGAGCCTTGGGCTCATAACCTGAAGTGGAGTGTCCTCTTGGTGCTGCTCACGCAGAGATGGAAGCAACGACAACACTCAGCTGGGCGGCAAAAGCCACCTTGTTGGTCGTGTGTATATTCTCAACTGAGGCCTAGATTCTTCTCTTTCACCTTTTGTCTTACTCCAACTGCAAGTGGTATAGTTGGGATCAGTATAATCCGCAACAGCAACAAATTCAAATTCAAATTACTAATGAGCGTGGAGTGCAACCAGCACTTCTGAATCGTAGAAACTGACACATTATCCCACGCAGACTCGCACCACTTCATGGCAGTTAGTAAGTCGACTGTATACGCATCGCGATACGCCCCGAGATGATGCGGCCGATGGTGGCTTTCCCAGGGGGCCTTTGCAGACCGAACTCGACTTTGGCCCAAAGGGCCAGGTCTTCATACAGTACTTGACAGCGGGGGAGCTCTTAGCCTTCTTGCTCAGACGCAGCTTCTGCTGCTGGGTGAGGCGAGTTCTAGTCTTGGAGGAGGAGCTCATGAGGTGGGTGGATGGGTAGGGCGCTGGTGTTGTGGTAGATTCCGTTGTGCTTGGAGGTGGGTTGGAGGGAAGGAGTTATGTTCAAATTGTAGCTTCAATCACGTAGTCGCGCTCGTTGCGCAACCAGCCAATAGCGCCAGGATCCTGTCGAAAGTTAACTTAAATCAATGTTAGCTGTGTTCTTGATTGACAGCTGTATATAATGTATGTAAGGATATTAGTTGCCACACGTCCCTTATTGACGCACATTACTGTAGACATCTTAGCCCTAATTCGTGGTATCCGGATACGGCTCAACGTCACCACATGGTCGTACACTCATCAAGTCGAATATTCTAAGTTAGGAGTTAGGATTCCTAACTCCTCGGCTGAAGGCATGGCTGTGGATCACCAAAGCGACTACATGTAGGCGTTCGAGACTGCGCCTCCGAATCGGCGGCACGGTCCTCCAAATCCTGGCGATAATTATGAGCGCATTGGCGAACAGATGGGACTCGGATTCCGGATTCCATACGAAGTCTGCTTTCCGAACACTCCTTCTAGAAGCTACAGGCACACTGCCCTAGCGAATCATCCCCCACTTTCCAAAGAACAGCAAAACCCCACCACGCGTTTAAACATGAAGTTCGCCACCGGAGTCGCGTTTGCCGCCGTCGTTATCATCGGCTCCTGCAACGCCGCCGAGTACCTTACTGTCGACCCCGCCACTCTGACCAAGATCAACCCCGACAACAAGCTCCCGGGTCCTGTGACGTCCACCTCCACGGCCAATCCAGCCCTATTCATGGGCATTGGACCTGAGGTGTTCCCTGGTGAGCCAGGTTACAGTACCCCTAGCGCTTCCTCCAGCGCTGACAGTCTCTCGGGGTCCGTTAGTGCGTCCTTCGCCGGCAGCAGCAACCTGTGCAACCAGGCTTGCCCTGACGTCTACGACCCTGTTTGCGGAACCGATGGCGTCACATACAGCAACTCGTGCAAGCTCGGTGTCGCTAGCTGTGAAAACTTTGCGAAGGCCATCTCGAAGAAGTCTGAGGGTCCGTGTCCGTAAGTACACGTCATCTCAACTTTAGATGTCTATAGCGTAAGAGCTACTTCTCTGTCCCACCTGAAAATGCAGTAGAACCCTGCGGTTGCCACACGATTTATTTGATGTGGTCCACATATGCATTTTGATTGGTTAAAAACATCTCCAATAACTTAAGCTTACCGACTTCTAAATCGTTTCGCGCTTTCGACTACACACAGCATACGTACATGCGGAACCAGCGACCTGACCATATAAGCAAAGTGTCCATTGAACTTTCCCACGCCGAGCTGGCGGCTCGAGGTATAGATGCCTCCACAGCGGTTGCGGCCGCTGTTGAGGCGTTTCCTCTCAAGCCCCTGGCAGCGTGGGCAGTTTGGAAGGATCGCTAGTCAACACCTGCCAATTACGTCTAGAAGCTTCTGTAGCCATTTAATAAAATGTGGGTACATATTTTCTTAATCTTAGGATTTGGAGCTAGTCATTCCTGATTGGTTATAAATATAGTCGAGAACGCTGGATCGAAGCCAATTAAAACAGCGTTGTCACTCGCGTAAAACAGCCCTTACAGAGACCGTGCCAATTTATTTGAGTGCGCAAGATGACGACGAATACGCACATACTTTTACATCACAACAAACATGAATCCTCGACGAAGTACGGAGGAAAATGTGATCACCGCTGACACGGGACGGCAGTGATCTCATTGTATCCCCGTTAACATTGGTACTGGCGATCTGAAAAAAATAGAGGACGAAGCTATCATTGCGAGCTATACAATGCTGCTTTCAGCTATCTAATCCGACCACTACTTCTCGAGATATCGATGATTAAAAATTTACTGCATTTTCAGGTGGGACAGAGAAGTAATGAAGACATTCCAATTTGCCCGCCTACTGATGTGTGCATTTGCAATGTACTAGTACATATGTAGTAGTCGGTAAGACGTAGGGAATTGCTCAATAAAAAATGAGTTTATGAGAGTCGCTACTCACCGATGTAATAAAGTATAAACAACTTCCCAGTGTATTGCAATGATTATTACGGCGACTCCAAAATCGAAATACAACATGATATTTTATTTTCCGACCTCTGGTACAGTGCGTTGGGCTGACAAATGAAAATATGCTGGATACTGTATGCTTATAAATAATACAGACCAAAATGCACCGATAAATGTGCCGTCGTAATTACAAAACGAACCTAGGATCAGCTTACCATAGAAATACATGACTATTGATCCTTTTACCAGGCTGATAGCGCTTAGTGCTTCGAGGCGAAATACCTAATAGTAATAATATACTTCCTAAAGTAATATTTATCGAGTGGCGTTCAGCTGGATCGGTAAATTTTAATATCCGTAAGAATAATTTGCAGTAACTTACGGGAATAACTTACTGATACCCCGTTACCAATTTCGCGCAATAAAAGTAGAAGGTCTACCACAGAAATCTATACAACTTATGCTTAGTGAGACCACTTCCAACGAATTCGACGGCAATTGGTTTGCAAAATGGAGTCTTAAAATAAAGAAGAAGCATCGACTGGCAATGAGACGCTGATTTTACTGTAAATATCTTCCAAGAATTTGAGCTCAACAGTAGTTGATTGTGAACCTACACATATTAACTATCCAACATTTGGTTGTACTGATATCTGAATTAAAGGCGCATGGAATCTAATGCATGCGTTGGTAAGCGTAGGGTATTTGTACGGTGATGGCAACCGATGTAAACTATCCACACGGGTCCGACGGTTTTGTTCCACTCGCCTTTTTGCCCAACTTTTGCACTTTGAATGGTGGCTACATTAGTGGGAAAAAATAGCACAATAGCTCAATTAATAATTGTGCTTGGGGAGAGTTGGGGAATCAAATCAATATCGTATTGCATTTTGCTTAGCCCTGCTAACAAGTGCATGCCTTTTAAGCCTCTCTCTACAGACATCGACGCTCATCTCTGCTAGGGACGATGCGCCAGCGGCAAGATGCTGAGCACTGAACACCCGTTTCATAAAAATAGTAATATACCCAAACTTTTGTGTTGTAAGATGAGAACAAATCTAACAGACAACATAATGCATGTTGCTCATTCGAGGACTCTCTTCTAGCGCACAGCATGTGTTACTGAAGCTCACGCTCGATGAACATACACGCTATTATAAATTGAACGCATCGTATAACAGGCTACAGTACAGCGGCCAGGATTCTCGAAGGGCTGGGCCTACCGCTTCCGTAAGCGCCACGATATTCGATGCATTCGGAAGCAAGGAGAAGCGGCATCCGTAAAGCCGAGTAGCGTTGACGGCGGGCGCGCCAAGATGCGTGAGATCACGGATCGGTACGAACTACCCGACATCTACAATTTGGACGAAACTTCCTTCTTCTACCATGCAGATGCCCCGCGGACTTTGTCAAGGAAAAAGATGGTGGCCGGCTACAAAGCTGACAAGACTCAGCTGACAATGGTTGTTGCCACGAACGCTGATGGTAGTGACAAACAATCGCTACTTTTTATCGGCAAGATGGCGCAGCCAAGGGCGTTTGCAGGACCCAACGTGGTGGACGAGTTTACACCAGCAGCAAGAAGGCATGGATGAACACCCACATCTTCCACGACTGGCTTCGAGAGCTTGACATGTGCATGCTCCTCGCGGGGCGCCGCATTCTCCTCCTCGTGGACAACGTGAGCTCTCATACAAGACCTTCGATTCCGCTGTTCAACGTGCGCCTTGAATTTCTTCCCAAGAACACGACCAGCGTGCTCCAACCGCTCGACCAGGGCATCATCACCTGCACCAAGAGTAAGTTCATGCGCATCAAAGTAGAAGACAGCGTCGACAAATGCATCGCAGGGAAGCCTCAGGTGAAGATATCCATTCTGATGGCTGTGGAGTAGGCGTCACGTGCTTGGGACGGAGTTACGCAGGAGACTATCAGGAATTGTTGGAGGCATTCAGGGATAGTAAGCTCGATCATGCATGCGCCGCATCCTCAATTAAGCTCAAGTTGTATTATATATTCAAGTTGCTGTTATTGTGGTTTTCAACTATTTTGCCGCCCGATTTGACGTGTTATCTCGGAGTCCGATTTATATAAAATGGAGCTCCTACATGATCGGTTAGTCCAATTTAGCTATATCTGACCTGAGTTAGTAGCATAAGGCTCAGAGGGGAGGCATTCCAAGTTGGCCATACCTCCCCACCTCTCATGACGCATTAGAAGTGCAAGACATTGGGGACAATAGTACACTGTATATAGCCACTTCATAGCACTATGGCCAGCTAAATCACCTGTGTGATCATTTACGGCCGCTACAACTTCGTGCCACGCCGATCTGAGAGGGCCCCAGACATGTTTTCGCGGCGGTCCCTTTTGCCGGCGAAAAGCGGAATTTCTGGCCCCTGCTTCGCAACTCGCAGCCCCCCGACGCAAACCGGACCAGATATAGTTTGCTTCCCTCAGCCCTTCCTGCTATTTCGGAGCCCTCCAGCAAATCGGACCCGATATATCGGATCTTGGACCACGCGATTTGCCAAAACGGATGAAAGCCACAATAAACACAAGCTCGATAAATTATTCTGCAATAAAAAATATCGAAGTCCTCAAAGGGTAAAATACCGTGACTTTTTTTTTAAATGCGACCCAAACTAAGAGAAATACTCAAGAGTTTCACCATCGAATGAGTTGTTATTATACCTGCAAGCTTCGTACTGTGCATCCTCTGATCATGGTAGCCCCCTTAATGGTTCGACTTGACTACTCGCATCTGCGTGTATGCGTTTACTTAAGTACATGTGTAGTGCGGATGACCGACTGCGAGCACACGTGCGTTAGACCAAGCCAAAAAAATTAGTCAGGAAGTCAGAAGTGGCAGATTCGTATCCTCAAATTAAGGATTGAGGCTCAATCTCTTTGGGGGCGCTGCTGGGATAAGAGAATTCTCAAGAAAACCCTGGCCGACGAGAAATCGTAGGGTTGCAAACCGCCACATGGTGTTGGCAAAACGCGAAGCTGCATCGAAGAACGAGCAGACCGTCCCGGCTCAATGTATATCCTCCCGATGTGTCCCAAGCATGCGGTGTTACATGCAGCACACTTGGCGTTCGGTAATGCATGGAGTTTTGTTGACAGTAAGGTGCAAATTGCTTCGAATGGTGTGCGCTCATTCGTATGTTCGTACATACCAACCACAGTGACTATCGCCACGCGTGTGAAAACTCAAATTACTGTAACTTCCAGCGACTTGGTTTTTCTGTTCGACGTGCTTGTTGGCAGCAAGTTGCCGCTTCGGTGCAATCTGGCCCGTCCACATGATCTAATGGAGGGTAACAATTGTACACTCCACGACAAAAAGATATGGACACCACCAAAAGTGGCTGTAACTTCGTCAATTTTTATCGTTTTAAGGTGCGGTTTGGACTAGAGTTGCAGAACACGCTGATAAAGATCTGCACGTTGCTAACACGCGCGCTTTTGCGCTTCTTCAGGTAGCTCACATACAAATCACTGGTTCTGCCCAGGTGACAAAACTTATGGACAAAGGAACCCATGATTTCTCCACTCTACCTTAGTATTGAGCCATATATCATCGACCAACAGTTTAGAATGGAGAAGACAATCGTATATCCAAGAGATAGCAGCATACAGAGCTACAAATTGGCACTAACTAGGATGCAACTAAACGTGCCTCGCAAATCATCAGATAATACATGGTAGCCACCACTCGAAATTTCAGTCGCTTACTACTTGCTCAGTTTTGTGCGATGGTCGATGTATTTATTACAGGTTACTAAACACACCTTCTAGTACACGATAATGCCATCAGATCTTTGTCTAACGTCGCGAGTATCGCCGTGAGGCTGGTTCCTTTGTCGCCCCATACAAAGTCCAAGTCGTATCATTTGTAAGGGGTTTTGGTTAATATAGGATTTTGTATAGCGATTAGCTGTCCATAAGTTTTGTCACCTGGGCAGAACCAGTGATTTGTATGTGAGCTACCTGAAGAAGCGCAAAAGCGCGCGTGTTAGCAACGTGCAGATCTTTATCAGCGTGTTCTGCAACTCTAGTCCAAACCGCACCTTAAAACGATAAAAATTGACGAAGTTACAGCCACTTTTGGTGGTGTCCATGGAGTGTACGAGAAGCGGCTTGCGATTATTCTTGATCCGCATAAACTCTCCAAGCCCACAGCCGCGACAATCCTCAGGATAACCAAGTGGATAGGGCGCATTCGAGTTCAATGAACACCGTCCATTTACGCCTCCGTGTTGCTGCGGGCCCCGGATGGGGAGCGAGTCTGCTGCAAACACCAAACTCATCGGAGGCATTCTCCATTTTGCGTAGAACAGCGCACTCCACGCCCGGTATACGCGAATCGCAGCGTTTTATTTAAATGAAGTTCACCACTGGTCTTGTGCTGGCCGCCGTTGCCGTTGCCGGCGCCTCCGCCGACGACTCCAAGATGCAAACCGTGGATACGTCGACGCTCACTCACGTGGACCCCGCCACGATCGCTGGCCTGGGCCCTGCCGTGCCTGCCGGCAACAACCCCAAGATCAAGAAGGCCATGGAGGAGCTGGCCGGTGCTGGCTCGAGCAACTACTACACCGTCGACCCCAAGTCGCTGCCGACCATGGACCCCGCCCACCTTGTTGGCCTGGGCCCCGCTCTGCGTCCTGGCATGCCCGGTTACGGCCAGAACGCCCAGTTCAACAAGGCTTGGGCTGAGTACCTCGAGAAGGAGGGCAAGCAGGGCCGCGCCCTCGAGTCTACCACCACGTCGTTCAACCTCCCTAAGGACCCGAAGACGATCGACCCTGCCCTTCTCACGGGTCTTGGCCCTATGACGCCTGGTAACAACCCCAAGATCAAGCAGGGCATGGAGGAGCTGGCCGGATCTTCCGACAACTACAACACCGTCGACCCCAAGTCGCTGCCGACCATGGACCCCGCCCACCTTGTTGGCCTGGGCCCCGCTCTGCGTCCTGGCATGCCCGGTTACGGCCAGAACGCCCAGTTCAACAAGGCTTGGGCTGAGTACCTCAAGAAGGAGGGTGCCTCTACCAGCAGCTCTGGTAGCGCCGCTTCCAACTGCCCCCAGGTCTGCCCTGATGTATACCAGCCCGTGTGCGGTTCGGACGGCGTCACGTACAGCAACTCGTGCTTCCTTGGCGTGGCCAGCTGCAACAACCCGGAGAAGCACATCACCAAGGCCTCGGACGACGCTTGCTCGGGCCAGGCCAACTAGACTAAGTAACTCGAGATTCGTTTACGTGTAACGATCAACGAGACGATCAAACCCCGTTATTGACGCTAAGGTTCAATATACTCATCTCCAAGTATTCTCATAAGTTTTTTAACGCGACTGCAGCAGTTGTAAGGCAATCAATCACCAACCGGCAAACGAAAAGTACTCGTGAGGAAACACTAAACTTGATGCCAATTACTCGCGATGAATCCAGCTTATGAAACGCGGTCTGCTAACGTGGTAAACTTAGCAGTTTCTCGATCACACCACTTCCGCTCCAGAAACGAGCTTACATCTCCTCGATGCCACAGCCAGGGTTTCGTTCCATCCACCTTTCGACCCGCGAAGGGTGGTAAATGAACTCTGCGAGCTCTTTTCGAAGCCAGTTGCCTCGTCGCTCCTTGAAGCGAATGTACGGGTAGCGAAGATTCAGGTGGTTTGGCACCATGTAAAACAGGAACTGATGGTGCAGCTGACGGTCCCCACACTGGCGCACGTACTCGAAAACCCAACGAGATCGACGATTCCTCAGGATAGCCGTCGTCTTTGCGATATCATACCAGTCCACTTCGTCGAAGTGTCTCGTTATAAACGACTGTGACCAGTGCATTCTTAATGTACGTTTCCAAACGATACGCGAAGGGTGTTGCTCCAGCAGTGAGATGGCCCAAGACTGCTCACTGAGCACACCCCAGTCAGCTTTCTCCTTGTGCGTCAAGATCAAGTCACGCGCCCACTGGAATTGAGAAAGAATCGGCCAGTCTGCTCGTTCAGGGAATTGCTTGAGAAGCTGGATAGCGTCCTGCTGGCGCGACAGCGCGCTCCAGTCGAGACCGTTGAGAAATGCATCCGGTGTAGTTCCCAGTCGGTCGATGTTTTCCAGGACGAGTGGAAGCGCCCATCCATACCTGGACGCTTGTTTCCAGTTCGCTTTTTTGGGAAACTTCTCCAAAAGTGGCAGTGCCCAGGTCCATGGCTAACAACCGCAGCCCAATTCACACGATCGGGGTGCTGGCGCAGCAGTGGCAAAGCCCACTTCTGGGTTGATAAGATATCCCAGTTCGCTCGCTCTGGGAGCTTCTTGAGGAGCGGCAACGCCTGTTTGTCGCACGACAGCTCCTTCCAGTTCAAGTTGGCCACGAATCCTTCCACCGGTTCTACGTGCTCTAGCACCAAATGGAGCGCCCACACATTCTTAGACATGAGGCTCCAGTTGACACGCTCGGGGTACTTCCTAATCAACGGCAGTATCCATGGACCTTGCCGAAGGAGCTCACTCCAGACGATTCGGTCCGGATACTTTTGTAGCATGGGGAGCGCCCACCGTTTCCAGGACAACGCGAACCAATCGACTTGGTCCGGTCTTTCCTTCAAGTACTTAAATGCCCACGAGCAGGACGAAAATGCCCCCCAATCGACTACGTCGGGGCATCTCTCCGCCAACTGCTTTGCCCACGGCTGCCGAGCAACCACTTTCCACTTTGCATGGGTCGGGAATTTCTCATCAACGGGATGGCCCATTCAAACGTCGAGAGGCGCTCCCAGTCCGCTCGATCAGGAAACTTCTCCACCAACGGGTAGGAGAACTTGTACCACGACGTCTGCTTCCACAACACACGGCCAGGGTACATCTCCAGCAGCGGCACGGCCCAGGCCTGCTCCGACACGACGCTCCACCACACTCTGTTCGGGTTTGCCTTGAGCACGTCCATGGCCCAGTCGTGACTCGACAGTTTGCGCCAGTCTGATTTGTCCAGGTGCTGCTTGACCAGCTCGAAGGCCCATTTGCGGCCGGATAGCACGCACCAATCCACTCGGTCCAGGTGTGCACTGAGGAACTCGAGTGCCCAGCTCTGTCGACAGAGGCGCTCCCAGTCCACGCACTGCAGGTTGCTCTCCAGCAAGGGCTGAGCCCAACTGTGTGCGACGACCTCCGTCCAGTCCACACATAGCGGGTGGCGCCACAGGAAGGGCAGGGCCGCTTTGTAGCGGCTGACCTGGCTGCGGTCAGCTCCGAAGAGCGACAAGTGGGACGCGAAATCGTCCTCGAGCTCCGAGCAGAGCACGACTTGGTCCCAGCACACGCGATCCAAGTGCAGCTGCAGCAGGCCATAGGCGCCAGGGCAGTGAGAGAGCGCTCTCCAGTTGGCCAAGGCGGGCTGGAGCAAGAGCTGGCCCAGTAGCCACTGCTCAAAAGGTTCGGGCCGAGCTGGAGCGTTGTCGGCTAGGAGCTGCTCCAGCACGCTGGCGTGCGCCTGCGTGAGCTGCTCGTCGACGTCCGGGAAGCGGGAATGCAGCAGGGGTAGGAAGTCGGCCTTGTTGCTCGAGCGCCGGCGCTTGGGCGGCGTCTTGGCCGGCGGAGACGCGCATGGAGCTGGACGCTTGCTTGGCTTCATGCTTCCTGCTTCTTCAACGTGAAAGTGAAGGTCATCACTAGGATACATTACTTACCGTACCGTATTTTAAAACTACGGTTTCAAAATTTATTTATTTTTCAAAAAAGTATCAACTTTTTTGTCAACTTGACACTGTCAAGCGGTGATATTAGCAACTTGGACGGGCGCCGAACTTTCAGTGCCTTTTTTCTTCTCTCCCCGCTCAGCTTCATCTCGCTCGCGCAAGTCGGGCAATGTGCTTTAACTGCCGTCCTGAAGTCCACGGGCTACTTCTACGTAATTATCCTTTTTGTTCATCGAAAAGCTCGGTCGTCACAGAGCATGCT